CAAACCCTGCAAGTACTTTGAGTTTTGGTCAGTGGGGATGAGGAGAGGGATTCAGACCATGGGAGCTTTTTTGCAAGTGAGATCAGCCCTTGCATAAGCTGCAATAGCTTCCCACATGGATGTGGGAAGTTAAGACCCAGCTCCCACTGAGTCTCAGCCATTAGCACTTCTGAGACCAACAGCACTCTGGTTTTGATGGGTAGCTGGGGGTATAGAGACTTAGAGCCATACCTTGCAGGTCCCAACAGCATCAGCAACAGCTCCTTGTGCTCAGCCCATGCTCACTAATATTATTTCTCTCTCTGTTATCCAGAGCAGGTTTTCATCCTCTCCAGTACTCTTCCCTGATCTTGGCCAAAACATTTAATCTCTGTGACCCACTTTCCCCACATGCAGACTAAAGTACGCTTTTAGAACATGTTAATGCTGTGCTTTGGAAATGCTATTTTTTTTTTCTTATCTTTGTTCAGATTTCAGAGGAATATTTATCCTCTGGTGCCTCTCCAGCCCCTTCTGGTTTTCCTTACTTTCTTGGTGTACTCTCAGCCAGCAGGACAGACTTGCAAACTGGTGTTTGTTGGTGTGCTGGCACCAAGAACTGTTTCATTTTCTGCCATGCGTCTGTCCCTTAATATTCAGTTTCACATTTTCTGGAATGAAGCCCTATTGTTCAACACCCATCTAAACCCTGAATTAAAGCTACTGGAGTTTCTTCTCTTTTTATACTAGCATGGCCAGGATCATAATCTGCCTGATATTACAAGTACCTAAAATATAAAATTAGCTTCAAACAGAGCTGATTTTGCTCTCAGTGTATCAGACGTCCTGGCACAGCCCTGGAAGCTACATGCAAGCAAAAGGCATTGCATAAAGGTACTCTTCTGGAACTTTTCTGTGTCCTTTTGTTATAGTAAGGCTGAGTCTGGTTGCCACTGATGGGTTATAGCAAAGCATCTGTTATCTTCAGGGGCTAAGAACTGGACTTGCCCACTCACAAGGGCATCACTGAGATGGGGGATGCCTATGCACAGAGATTAGCATTTAATACGCAGCACAGCTTGATAAACTGAATCTAAATAAAACCATCAGGTCACTCAAAGGTGATTTTTTTTTTTTTTTTTTTTTTTATTCCCCCACATACAGATTGACTATACAACTTGTGCTTAATTCTTCTAGAAGTGAAAAATCTGGTCCTTGCAGCTTTTAAGGAGGTTTTAAAAATAACTATTCTTCCATCTCTGTGGTTTAAATAGAATCACAACCGTACTACTTATAGCCTGGAAGAGAGAGAAGATGCTAAAATATCAGGCATTTTTAACAGAGTATGAGAAAGAAAACACTGGGTTGGGTACCAGCAGGATTAGGAGAAGGCAAGATCTGTGTTAGAGATCACAGCCTTAGGCCCCTACCTAAGAAGCTTCTTAAGCTTTAATAAGATACTGCAAAAATTGGAACCCTGCCATAAAGACCTAACAGTAAAAGAGGCATGTAAGGTATAACTGGAACACAATTCCCAGCAATAGCACTGTGGTTTTGCCCCCAAGTCTTTGTAACACCATTCTACCCCAGTACTCTTTAAAATTCACCAAGCTATCATCTGATATTCCAGGATGAAAATATAATTAGTACTAATAACCAACTTCTGCTGTGATCTGAAGCTCTTGACAGCTTTCCTTCTGTACCCAGATGCATTTTCCAACAGCTTTGGAACTGATCATTAAGTCTCACTTTGTTTTCAAGATACTCCATCCATTTCTTAGCCCAGATCTGGCAGTATCAGTACAGCCCCATCTTCCTCCTGCCTACCTTCTATGCAGCTATACTGAAAGTTCAAATTGCAAACTTCTTAAGCACTTTAAGAAATATTGCCTCTCTGGTGTTTAAATCTGAGTTAGGGATGGAAAGCAAGACATAAAACCAAACTAGAAGCCCCACTTCACTCAATTCCTTGCCTAAATCTAAAGCCACCATAGCCCTTTTCTGATCTGTTACACACACCTCTTCTGTGCTCGTTTCACAGTCAGGACAACTATTTCTCAGGTCGTGCCTAAGAACTTTGGACTAGTCCCTACAGATACAGTTTTAGCACAGAATGCTGCGTGGAAATTGAGCTTCTCTCTGTCATTTGTGTGCAATCTGCTCCAGCACTGCGATGATCAGTGTTTGTTAAATGTCATATCAGAATGAAAGGACAGCTTTCTCTGAGATGGCTATAAAGTTGTGTCAGGATCCCGCCATCAGGCCAACAGCTGAAATACTGTCAAAGAAGTTGCAGAACAATACAGCAGGTTAAAATGCCATGCTTACTAAATGTACATTACCCATTAAGAATATAGTTTACGAATGAGTACAGTATTAACCAAGCCACCATGTCAAAAAACTGCTTTGCCAACTAAAATTAGCAACCCATAATTACACACTCTATCATTAACAGAGGAGTGATTAGCTAAACCAGAAATTTGGTTTCAGGAGACAAAGAATTGTGCTATTTAAACCTGTTGCCCATCATGAACTTAAGTCTTCTTAAAAATAGCTTTAGTCACTTTTATTGGTATAAACACCTAAATTGAGATCTAACAGCAAATAAGGATTGTGCTTGTCCATAATAACCTCAGCTGCAAAATCTACTCAGACACAAGACATACAACCTTCCACATAACACAAGTTATTTGCCAGCAAAGCAGAATGCTGCCATTCTGAAACAATTACATACAGTAAAGGTTTTCAATATTTTATTAAAGAAAACAGTCAAAATGTGCAAGTATTACCCAGGTTTGTAGATAACTTCCTATAAAGGCAGTAAAATATGAATTTCAATCTAGGTTTTAAAAACTGCTATAGTTGCTTATTTTTAAAGTTGGTATTTTAAAATCACATTTCACAAACAGTTCTGAAATCTTACCAAATGAATAGTGCAACAAGAAAATTGAAATTAGTTCTACACTGTTTGCATGTCAAGCAAAAGTTATAAGTAACTGCTTCAAATACTCAAACCATTGGAGAATGAATGAACCCAACAGCTCCCACCAAAAACTAACTTCTGACCACATTAGGAATGTCCTTTTCTTGTTCTTCACTTAAGATCAAATAATAAGAGAACAACACCTCTTGAGGTCATCAAAAATAACTTTAGTAGAAAATTGTCTTGGCCCTTATCAAATATTACATGAGTAAAATTGTTAAGCCTTTATCAAAACAGACAGGAATAGGGAAACAAAAAAACATGTCATGGCCTTAATCCGTATCTGTTGGAATTATGTCTAGAAAGGTTAGAAGCAAGACCAGAAACTTGGAGCCCTGTTTTTGTTTTTAAAAACCACACAATCACAAAGAAAACCAGCTTCTTACTGCCTAAGGTTTGGGGGTGTTCTGCTCAAGTACCTGTCCCACAGACAGCAACCTTTTATGTTCTGAAGAGAGCATAAGCAAAATATAGAAAAATAAATAAAACAGCTTCTTACAGCCTAAGGTTTGGGTGCTGGGTGGTGGTTTAGTCTGTCCCCCACAGGTCACACTCTCTTGAAATCATATGCAGAAACATGGAAAATTATATCCATCTTTCTTTTTTTTTTTAGAAAGAGAAAATCCCCCCCTACATCCCAAAGCTCTTGAGATCACAAAGGATGGTGCCCTGGGTGCTCTGGATGCTTTGGCAGCATGGGAAGTGGGCTCGGAGACAGACCCTGAGCTCCTTGTTGAAGATGAAGCAGAGGATGGGGTTGACCCCTGCCTGAGCAAACGTCATCCAGACAGAGGTGGTCAGGTAGACCTGGGGGATGGAGCTGGCCTTAATGAAAACCCGCAGGTAGCAGGCCACAATGTAGGGGGACCAGAGGAGCAGGAAGAGCAAAGTGATCATGTAGAACATCTTGCAGAGCCTTTTCTCCATCTTAAACTCCTCCAGCACCAGCAGCCTCTTGATCTGGCTGTGGGTGGCCTGCCTTATACCCACGAGGGTGGGCGGCGTGGGCCCCCTGCCAAAGCCAGCCGTCCAGTTCGCAGCTGCTTGGCCGGTAGCTCCCGGCCCATGGAAGGTCCAGTTCTGGCTGATGGCTGGTACCAGCTGCGCTGGCTTCATCTTGCGGTGGCCATGGATGAAGAAGAGCAGCTTGATGTAGACCAGGTGGGTGGCAGCAATGACAGCTGCCAGCATGAGCATGAAGCCCAGCGTGTCGTTGGCCTTGACGTAGCGGTGCTCGAAGATGCACTGCTCCTCCTCCCGGATGAACTTGTAGGTCCCCACGTCAAAGACAGGGGGGAAGGCCATGGCCATGGAGAGGGTCCACACCATGCACACCACAGCCAGGCAGGTCCAGCCCGTCATGCGCTTAGCGTAGAAGCGGTGGTGGGCAATGGCCATGTAGCGTGTGACCCCCACGCAGAAGAGCAGGAAGGCGGCGTGGAAGCAGAAAAGCACAGCCAGGAAGGCCAGCACCTTGCAGCTGAGGGGCCCGTGGGGCCAGGCGGCCCCGCTGCGCACCGACAGCATGACGAAAGGGAAGCAGGCCAGGGAGCGGAGCCCGTCAGCCAGGCAGAGGTCCAGCAGCAGGTAGTAGGGAGCGCGGTGCAGGTGCCGGTCCTTGAGGATGAGCCAGGCGAAGAGCACGTTGCCCGCCAGGCTCACACAGAGGATCAAGCCCAGGGTGGCCAGCTTCAGCCCGGAGGCGCTCAGCAGGCCGCCGGCGCTGGGCAGGTGCGGGCTGCTGCTGCTCCCCAGCTCGCTGCTGTTCGCCATCGGGTCCTTCCTCCTCCTCCTCTTCCTCCTCCTCGGCGGCGCCGCGCAGGCAGGGCCGGGGTCTCAGCGCCGCGGCAGCGCGCCGGGGCCGAGGGCCGCGCCGCCCGGAGCCCCCATGCCCGCCACCACCGGCCTCCCCCCGCCGCCAACGCCGCCGCCGCCGCCCCGGCGACGCGGGGCGCTCCCGCCGCGCTCCTCGCGGGCCATGCGGATCCCCTGCGCTAGGGCCGCGCCCGCCGCCACCGCCGCCCCATGGGGATGGGGGATGCGCGGGGTGGGGTGTGGGGGGGTCACACACAAGGCGCGGAGCGGCGCGGAGCCACCCACCCCCTTACCGCCGGCGAGCTGCTCCTCCGCGCCGGGCGAGGGGCCTGCCGAGCCTGCGCACAGCGGCGGCGGCTCTGCCCAGCTCCCGCCGAGGACAATGGGGTAAATCCCCCTCTCTCCCTCCCTCCTTCTTCTCTATCCTTCCTTCTCCTCCTTCCCTCCGCCCTGCCTCCGCCCCCCGCGCAGCCCGGCCCCTGCGGAGCGCGGGGCTGAGTCAGGCGCGCAGCGGCGCGGAGCGGCGCGGAGGTCCCGGTGCCGCAGCGGGGCTGGGAGCGGAGCCGCCCGCAGCCGTGGTCCCCGCCCTTGTCCCCCGGGGTGGGGCTGGGCGCGGAGATGGGGCTGGGAGGCAGCGGGGGCAGCGCGGGGTGTCCGGCTGCCGTGTGCGCTCGGGGAGGCAAAGCCGGTGGGGAGCTTATGGAGATGATGTGAGCGTGACACAGGGGTGTATATGCCCAAATATGCGCGGGTTGGTACCTACTGCGTGTGTGTATGGACCCCGTACACCCATTCGTTAGTGATACGCCTGTATCACATTCACCAGTGTGATTTTGCTAGGTTTGCCTGGACTAAACAACCATTTAACTTTCTTTCTCTGCATGCAGGGGACACAAGTCCAGTAGCGCCTGTTGCAGCCGAGCATCTGGGCACGCTGTCCCTTGGTGAGCCGGGAGGTTTGCAGGGGAAGGAGGTTTACAGCCAGTGTGTGTGGCAAATGTTTCGATGCTACAGCAAGGAAAAGCCGCTCCTGCAAGTCAGGAGCCTGAAGATTTGTGCCTGTTTAGGTTCCTGAGAAGGCAGAATGGGAGGGGAAGTGGCTAAATGTCTCTAACCCACATGGATGCTTCCTGTGTTTTTGTGTGTTGCAGAGGTTTACCCTCCCAGGCTTAGTTACATGGAGCCTGGCAAGTTTTTGGGAAATGGAGTTCTTAAGACCATTGGCCTGACAGCATAGAGCTTCACCTGTACTGTTGGTTCAGGTTTATAATGGGCAGTTTAATTAATGTAGGCCAGTGAGATGCAGATCCTTGTCCTCTCTCTCTCTTTGCCATCCTTGGTATGTAGGGCAAGGCCTCTCTGTGTGCCTTGTAAAGCAGGCACCACCGCACAGCCCTGCGCTCGCTGGAATGTTAATGCAATTATCTAACTGTTACTGATTTTCCTTCATGGCTTCTTGTGAAGGACACGTCTGAAATCCTTTTCGAGCATTCTATTAAAAGCCATCAGTAAATTCAGTATTATTCCAGAAATGATGGCAATTAAAGTGTCTGCATCAGTCCCAGAAGCGGATGCTCATGGAGCAGCTTTTTAGCAGATCTTGCTGGCTGGTTTCAGAAATCTTGTGGCAGGGGCCAGGCACCGACCTCAGTTGTGCCACCAGACATCCAGAGCAGCTCTGCTGAGCTCCTGGCATGTCAACAGTCATGGAACCAAACCCAGACTTTGCCCCAGATATGTGTTGAGGGCAATCTGTATTACATGCAGGATTTCATTTGTCCGTGGATCTTTTGTATCTCTTGTTTATTGCTAATGTTAGGAGAGTAAAGAAATCCTAAGGGGAGGAGGGGGAAAGTGGCAGATAATTGAGTCTGCTTTTTGCATCCTACCAGTACATCTGAGCTGTTTTCAGTTGTTAGGTTTCTCATTTGCACTGAAGTTTTCCTGTGACAGAGAATTGCCCACGGGTTGTTCAGTGCTTTGTGCAATTTTCAAGGCATTTCTTACATTCATGCCATGACTTAAGAGCTGAGTGCACTGTGTCCCCTGGGCAGCCACGGCACCAGCATCAGGAGCAGTGGCTTTCTGGAGGAGCCAGAGACACCACATACCTTGCTTGCTGCCAGTGCAACACAGTACTGTGTTAACGGGCTCTCCCATGCCTGGGTGCCCGCAGCCGAAGTACTTTGCCAAGCATGAGTACAAGGATTGGTTGTCCTTAGGGGAATGTGGCTTTTCAGAGGAGCAGAGGAGACCTCATGGCCTGTGTAAGCTCTGTGATCTCTGCCATCAAGTGAGCAAAAGAGAATAACACACCTGCTTCCCTCCTCCATGCCTGCGGGTAGGGTTTCTCTTCTCCCTGAACGCTCGCCAGCGCAGCTGAGCTGGCTCAGAAGCTACTGTAATTCACTGCTATCTTGCCAGGCCAGCAGCAAATTGCTAGCTCATCTTTCTCCCACCTGTAGCGAGGGGAGAGGATGGTGTTTCATCCATCTTCCCAGGCCTGCTCCCCTGATGGGGCTGCTATATAGCACTATAGCAGGTGTGAGGAATTTGAGGGCAGCTTCCTAGTGGAGCTGGCTGAGAGATGTGACACTAAAGGAACGGCCAAAAGGAATGGGGAAAATAAGGGGGTTAACAGCCTTCACAGGAGCAGGCTCTTCGCTTGCTAGATGCCCCCATGCAGGCATGTCTGCATCTTGGCGTGCTTCACTGGCATCTTTGCATCGGACCCATTGGGTTTAAACAAGTTTATCACCCAGGCTTAGTCCCAGTTTGGACATTAGCACAGTGCCACATTTACAGTATTTGACTACAAAATGAGATACAGAGTATTTTGTAACCGCTCTGCTGTTGCAGAGCTGCTTGAGGAGCTCTTCCAGCCCACAGGGACTGCAGTGCCTGGGGCAGTGTCCACTGTTAAGAGTCAAGAGGAGCAGCAGGGACTGCCCTGGCTGCCCTGACATCCCCTTCATCTCTGGTGCTGCTCCGTGCTGCTCCATGGCGCACAGCCGGACAAAAGGCAGGTCCATTGCAGCAATCATGGGGAACAGGTAATTTCCAGAGATTGTAATGAGCATGTTAAGTTATTTTCCTTTCTCACCTCAATCACTTTCATAAAATGTGTTTAACGAAGAGCTGTTCTTTGCTTACAAAATGGTGCTGCACAAACTACATGGATTCCCCTGACCTTTCAGTGTGCTTTACTTGAATTGGCTGCCTCTTCATGTTCTCTGCTCGCTGCCTTAAATGGGAGAGACAGTTGAAATACAGAGTCTTTCAGCAAATACTGTGGCATATTGCCTTCTTTCCACCAGTCACAGGTATTCTTCCTAAAGGCTTAGCTATTTATTATTGATGATGTTATTGGTGTTCTTCTGTCTGGGAGCTCTGTATAATGTTTCTGGAAAGAAAAGTGTCCTGTACCCATGGTACTACTGTAGTAGAAATCAGCGTTATCTGCGGTGTGACACAGGGAAGAAGTAGGAAATGTCTGGACATGCCTGAAGGACAAAGAGCCCCTCTGTGGCCTGAGACACCACGGGGAAGCAGGACAGGTGGGGAGCAGCCAGGCAAAACAATTTTGCTGTCACAGATAATTCAGGCAAGGAAAAGTCTTCAGGCTTAGTAATCAAGGAGTTGGAAAGGTCAGTCTGGAGCAGAAAGGGATAAGAGAGGCTTGAGTCGGATGCTGGCACAAGAAAAATTTGGATCCTCCTTCCCAGCTTCCTGTAATTCCCAGACAGCTCTCCGGATTACTTCATTATTTGTGTTATCTTTGCTCCTAACGGAGTGAGTCAGGGACCAGGGTGCTACATAAGCAAAACAAAAAGCTGTACCTTTGCCAAGGGAGCTTAATACCCAACTGTGAGATGGGGGAGAGATATGAACTCTAGAGAAAGGGGGAAATGAGTGAACAGTGAAGCTGCATCATAGGGAATGGCATTGGCGTAACCGTGGCTATCACTCATCCCTGCGAAGGGAGGAGAGAGTGCAAGGAGATAATGAGGTAGGTTTGTGGGTGTTTACAAGGATCATAATACTCTGTGACAATGACGGAACAGAAAATGACACATTAAGGCAGTGTTTGGGCACCAGCTAACGTGAAAACAGTGTGAGAAGTTTTAAATCTGCAAAATTTACAGTACTACCCAAAATAACTGCTTTGCACAGGAGTCACACTTACCTCTGTAACCAGGGCACAGCCATGGTACATGCCTGTGAACTGAAAACAGATTTAAAGCAATGCTGGAAGCCCCCACCCTACATCTTGCTTGCAGAGGGTCCAGATGTGAGGTAGAGATGGGTATGGGCTGGCAGAGGCCAGATCTATGTTCAGCAAAGCAGTGGTGCATTTTGGATGTGGCTTTGCTCAAGGAAATATTAGCACAGTTGTGCAAAATGTACAGATGACACCAATGAGAGTATTAATGTCACTGTTGAATCCCCATTTCCTGGGTGGCAGCAGAGGATCTGCAGACAAACAGGCAAATAGCTGCATCTATCCAGCAGAGAGGTATCTGACAGCCAGCTATCACATTTTTCAAGGGCTTATTCCTAGCTGTTTAATACTTCATACGCTCTCTTGGGGAGGGAGGAGTGAAGAGCGGAGGAGTATATTTGGCACAGTAGGGAAGTGGACTCGGGTCTTTTCCGTCCTTTAGTGCTGTACTGTTGCAGAGGGAGAGAAAGCCTCCTTCCACAGTGGTACTAATCCTCCTCCACAGCGAGCTGAACGTTTTGAACTTGAACTACTCCTCTCATTTTTCCCCCATGTGATTGTGAGTCAGGCTGAGCTTCTCTATTCTTCTCCATAATAGAGTAGGAGATTATTTTGACTGGAAATAACCAGACACAGGTATCATGGCTGTGAATGCCTCCATGCATGCCACTTGCTAAAAGTTCTCTAGCCTTCTGCAAAGGGAGCTGGTCTTTAAAGACTGCTTAATGGAGAAGGAAGAAAAGCAGAGGAGAAGAATAACTCCTTCCTGCTCACTTCTGTCACTGGCTGTGCTAAACTTAACCTGCTGGATCGTTGGGAACATGCTGCTCTTCAAAAGCAGCTCTTTGTGGAAGAGCTCCCCTGTGACACGGGATAGCCGCAGTGAGACAGGAAGTATCCCTGACACAGTGCCTTTCTACAGGAGCTTGTAGCTGCAATCCGGTCCCACAGGCAAGTCAGGAAAGTTAGGAAAAGCCATTGCTCTCAGATCTCCAGGGGAACAGATTTTCCAGCTCCTTCTCTTCCTCTCTCAGTTCACCCTCATTGGATGAGACCAGCTGCTTGGGTTGCGTTCCCACCCCTCTGCCGTGGAGGCAGTGAGCGACCAGAGGAGCGCAGTGCAAGGGGGAAGCAGATGCAATGTAAGGCCATGTCAGGGTACATG